GTAAAGAAATAAATTTAAAATAAATAAAATTTTAAGTGTTATATAAAAAAATTTTGCCATGATATTGAAGTATTTAGTACAGTTGTTTCTCCTATAATAGAGTATGTGTATTTTTGAAAATCATTGTACTATGGAATTTTTTAAATTAAAAATAATAAGGCTTATGGGAAAAATAACATTAGGATTAAGGAAAGAACACTCAAAACATTCAAACAAACAACCTTTCAAAACATTTTATTATTTGAAGCTTCTCCACAATGCTAAAAACTTTTCCTCCTTTGCTTATTATTTCAGTTCTTATAATAGGGATGCTTACCCATATTTAGAATATGGTATTAAATACTTTTGTTTAGAAGAATATGTAAATTCAGAAAAACATTGCAATATACATTCATAGTACTAGCTTACCCATTCACACTAGTTTACCCATTTGTATTGACAAATGGGTAAACTCGGATAAAAGATGCATTATGTGCATATTTTGTGTATTTCTCTAAGGATTGCATTCAGTAACACAAAGCTTATGTTTTGTGAATACAAAAATACATCAGTTGAATATAATCATTCATTACCTTGCAAAAATTCACATATAAGCTAATGTTATATGAAATATGTTGTTACAGAAGAGATTGTTTAGGATTCTAACTTCTTTTAAATTGATTTTTATCTTATTTTGAAATAAACTTGAAAATAAACCTGAAATGAAATTTAATGGATCTTTTACTAAAGAAGATGAAATACATTTGAAAAATTTTAAATTAGACATTTATTATACACTTCTTTAATTCAATATTCCTACTGGAAGAAGCCATTTGGTCTAATTTCTATGTTAAATTGATCAAAAAATGTTAATAATGTTATAAATTATATACTTAATGAATGTGATTTAAAAACTAAGTATATTACTATTTTGTTGTTTTATATAAAAACAATGTTAAGTATATATATATTACATTCTTTTCAGTACATATAATGGTTAATACATGTTCAATCAATAAATGAAATTATGCTGACGAGAATAATGGAAAAATGTAATTAAATTCAGTCAAAATTGCCAGTATAAATTAAAGTTTTTTTCCATTAAGAGTACAATTCTATTATGATACAATTTCAGAGCTGAAAATTTTATCACCATTGATATATGTACTTAAATTTTAATTGACAATTTTCTGAAAATAATACATATATTAATATAATGTAATGTATAAAATATAAAAAGTTTTATTGAATCTATTTTTGTTGTCATTATTTAGAACTGTAAATTACTTTTATTATATAGTAATGAAATTAATATTATTGATTTTATTGGTATTATTTTGAAAACTGACATAAAATATAGATGATAACAAATCATTATGTTTTGTAGAGCTCATAAACAGTTATCACCTGAAGAATTACAGTTTTTCTTAACTGGTGCTGTTGGTCTTGAAAACAAAATTAAGAAACCTGCACCGTGGATTCCTGATAATGCTTGGGATAATTTATGTTATTTGTCAGAAATGACAGCTTTTGATAATTTTATGTAAGAAATTAAATACATTTTATTATTTAATTAACTAATAATAATAAATGATTTATGTAATATTTATAAAATTATCTAGAGAAAGTTTCCAAGATCATCTCTATAACTGGCAGGAAGTTTATGAAACTAAGGATCCGTGTTCTTATCCCTTTCCTCAACCTTGGCAAGAAAAATTGAAGGAATTTCAGAAAATGTTAATTTTACGCTGCTTAAGACCAGAAAAGGTAAAATTTCAATGATTAAATCAATCTGTCAATCAAATAATTGTTAGAATTGAAACTATAAAGCAAAATAATTACATTCAACTACTCAAAATTGGATATACTGAATAAACAAAATGAATTCAAAACCAATTTCCACAGAATTTTACATGAATGCAAATGTTTTCAACCATGTTAAATGGGTATTGTGAGGCTACCTGACCTCTGCAGTTTATATACAGCTATTTAACAGCTGCATATGAACCAGGAAACTGTTATCTGTGGAATTATGTAGGTGATAGATTACTATATCTATTAGTTGTTTTTCTTCACTTTTTAAAATTTGTTTGGCATTAATGTGTGCTGCTGTTTTTGAATGTTCATAAATATTGTTTGCAAAGATGTCAAGGTACTAATAAACAACAACAGACAAAAATTCATACTTTTTTTTCACCCAATGTATTCCATTTTAGTGTCAATTGATTTGACTTAATTACCATAATTATTAGCAGTTTTAATTACGATGCATAAGCATCCATACTCTACACCCGTCCACTCTGCATGAATACTTTTGTTCTAATGAAAATAAAGATCAGTATTTAAATACCTAATTACAACTTACAACTTCTTTCATTATAGATTAATAAAACAATTAGTGGTTTGATGACATTAACAGTGGTAATCTGTTGCCACTCTGCTGACAACCTCTTGCTAAAATAATAAAGTTTTACTACCCTGAGGTGGAAAGAAAACACTTTCCTATCAAATAACAAAGTTGATGTTAATCCGTGAAACTTGAGATAATTTACAGCAAAGTAAAATATGATTTATTTTATTTCATTATAGGATTGAATAAAATAAACATAAAAAAATGCATTTTCTTCAATTTACAAGGTACTTTACATCCTTAGAATGAAGACAAAACGTTATCTCCTAATAAGTCTAAAATTCCTACTTAATAATTTATTAATTATTGTAAATTTTGTAGTTTTCAGAAAAATTTGAATTATTTTTAAAAATTTATCTTTCTTAAAAAATTATAAATCAATTTTCACATTTTAGGTTATACAAATGATATCAAAATTTATCGATAATAATCTGGGGAGAAGATTTACACATCCACCACCTTCTGATTTAGAACATTATTATGAAGATTCTTCACAAGTTCTGCCACTTGTTTTTATTTTGTCACCCGGAGCTGATCCCTTGTCAACATTATGGAAATTTGCTGAAAGCAAAGGAATTCACAGTAATAATTTTGAAACAATTTCTCTTGGACAAGGACAGGTAAATTTAACTCAAAGGGTTAGAATTAAATTTATATTTAATTTACTTATAATTGTGCTGCAATTTGAAAAAATAGAAGACCTATCTCATTGTTGACCATCTGTCTGTTTTTCCTTAATTAATTAATCTTGAGAACAGAATTATATAGATGAATGTCAAGACCAGATATGGAAAGCTTAGGATCAGGAGGTCCCAATTAACTACATTAAGAACTTCCATGCAAAGCAGAAGTCACATTATTTCAATTCAAAACTTTTCTCTTGAAAACAATTAATAGACGACTGGCATGACTCGAGTGCTAAAAGAAAAGTATGATGTATAGGAGCAAGCCACTACTAATTTGAGATGGAGAACATAAATTTGAAATTAAATAAATTAAAAGTATGATTACAAATTGCAGCCCAACATTGTGACCATGTCATAATAAATAATTTCTTGTTATTCTAATATGTTTTTCTTACTTCATCTGACTGATTATATACATAATGTTGTACGTAATATATTGTACAAGAAAAAATACAATAAACTTCAGTTACTAGTATTTTAGTAGTAGTTTAATTGTTACTGAATAGTAACAATTAAAATGCATTTTATTTTTTATATGACTTATTTTAATTTAAATTTTGTTTAAATATAATAAATTTTAATTTACACTGTCTTATTTATAATTGACATTGGGAGTATGATAGTAATAACTGCATATTTATTTAATTATAACTTATTTTTAATTGTAAATATTATTTTTAGGGTCCAAAAGCTGAAGATATGATTGAAAGATGTCGAAAGAAAAGATCTTGGGTTCTTATCCAAAATTGTCATTTGGCTGAATCATGGATGAATACTCTTGAACAAATCTGTGAATCATTTGCAGTTGAAAACACTCATAAAGATTTTAGATTATGGCTTACAACATATCCTTCTAAAATGGTAATATTTATTTTTTATTGTATTAAATACTACATCAAGATATAAAATTAATATTTTATTATACTGGGTGATCATAATTAAAGTATTTATCAGTGTTAAATATGGCATCAGTATCTAGAAAGATATTTAGTGGTCCAAATGTGTGAGGATTTCCAACTTGGAAAGATAGAGTAAGTTAGACTCAAGTCAAGATGTATGAGGGTTTTAGGATGATACATGGGTGGTGGTGTTGGACATATTGACTCCGGCACTGTTGCAATTAAAACCTGTTTATTAAAGTTTGTAAACTGGCAACTTACATAGTCATTAGGTAAATACACCTTCTTGGTCAAAGATCTTAAGTTAGATAATGTCCAAAGGTGTCCCTTCTATGTCTCCTTGGCAGCCCTGGAGTGGTGTCATGTACAAATCCAGTGGATGGAGGATGATGGAGAAGTGACAACAGGACAAAGTTGGAAACTTCAGTAGAGACAACAGTGAACAAAACACAGAGAGAGGAGTACATAGGTCACTTTGAAATGTTGAATAGAGGAAAATCCATACTTTGTCCTTGAAATTCAGAGTATTCAAAGGATATTATCTCCAAATTCATTATTCAAATTGGTTTTGATTCCTTCTTGTCATCTGTTTTCAAGGCAATTGGTCTCTTCCTGTGTCTCCAAAAGGAAATAAGATTGGATGGGGTCAAGAAAAAAGTTGGTCTTAGGTATTCCACTCGACACCACCTCGTGACTCTGATCAAGAGATTTTGATGGAGCTCTGAAACCTATGCTTATAATTTAGATTGTTATGGTTTCTGTCCTGACATTTTGGAATTTTAACTACTACATGGAACATTTTTCTTTTGTTAAACTTTCCAGTTTCCCAATTTAGTTTAACTTCTCTCGTTTTTTTATGTGAGCGTCAGAGTTAAAGTTCAAACTCTCCTGACTGACATTGATCTGTTTATTATCTAACACATGTCAGAGTAGCATTCGGGACTCACATTGTTTATGTTCACATCACTTTATACTGTGTTTATTTAATACAGTTTTTTTTCTGCTTTATAAAATATATTTTTAGTGCAATTAACAACAGGTTCAGACTTGGTCTGGAACCTCACAAATTGTTGTGTCTGTAAAATAAACGATTACTTGTTAATGTATATAATTAACTTTATTATAATACAAACGTAACTTGGTGATAATACAAATGTAACTTTGTGCCTCCAGGTCTAAGTGTTACAACAGCTAACGCATGACTGACCAGAGACAAAGGAACATGACAAAGGTCATAGGTGCGGGGTTGCCTAACTAGGTCAAGGGGCAATTCGGTGTGGGTTATCCCCTGAAGGTTTACATACATACAATTCTTCCAAGCTTAATAAAATGTTTAATATTTGTTTGTTTAGAGATTTAGGCATTGTACTGGTCTTCGTATTCGGTTGATCATCAAGGTTGATCATCATTCATTTGCATTTGTCATCATTCGGCTAGATTCTCCCTCCTTTTCTGGGGGCTGGTTGGAAGTTGTTTTTGTCATTGTCTTCTTTTTGTTGAGTAATGTTGTTCAATTCCTTTGTCATAGCTAATTGTGCATGGGTGTGGACTAGCGCTAGCTGGGGATGAGTCTTATTGTTTACTATGTTGTTGCACCTGTCAATTTTCTTTTTGTTGAAGTCGAATCCTATCTGAATGGGATTTGTCTGTTTGTTAATTTTTCACAGATGTAGTTGATCATAATGCCATTTTATTAAGTATCCATTGTCAAGTTCAATTAATAATGTAAACAATCTAGTCATTCAGCTACAATACCATATTTCCAAGGACCGGACATTGTGTAATTTCAGGATTGTACACAATCTCCTATGTGATAAAATTTGTAGAATTTCAGTTTTTTGGTTATGTTTCTTTTCAAGGCTTGTACCTGAGGTTTGATCAGATCTAATTTTGTTCTTATTGTATGTTCTAATAAGTTTTCTACTGGACTTTTCCCATTAGATAAGGGAGTCACTCTATATCAGAATAATAGTTCTTGAAGCTTCTGATGTAAGGTACCACTTTCATACTTCATGCATTTGAGATGTGTTTTCAAGTTGTGACAGTATCTTTCAGCCTGGCCATTTGTGACTGGGTGTCCCGGTGCTATTAAGCTTTGACAGATTCCGTTTCTCGAACAAAACTCTTGAAACTCTTTTGACTTAAACATACTTGCATTTTCACTTACTAAAATCTCAGGTAGACAAAATCGACCATAGACTTCACATAAAAATAGAATTGTGATAGATGTGTCTGCTGCTTTCTTTGTATAGAATATTTCTGGCCACTTTGATTTGGCATCAGCAACAATAAAGAAATAATGATTCATAAATGGTCCTGCATAATCGATGTGTATACATTGCCAGTTTTTTGGAGGTGTTTCCCATTTGTGTATTGGGGCTTTTGTTGGGTTTTTTTAATGTCACAGCACTCTTTGTAACTTTTAACCATATTCTCGATATCAGAGTCAATATTATGCCAGTATTCCTTTATTTGAATGATTCCTATGTGTGTAGAGTGTAGCTCTTGCAGTACTGCTGGCTGTAAACTTCTTGGGACGATTACATGGTGTCCTCTAAACATAATGCCATTATATGTGGATATTTTTGGGTTGTACATATGGCCATTGACAATGTCATTTTTGAACTGCGATAGTTCCTTCTTAATTGATGATTCTCTTTGAATGTCCTTGGCAGTGATAGTTCCAGTTGAGATATGTTTAACAGTGTCATGATAAGTATCATCATGGTCTTCTGTTAGGGCTTCTTTCCTTGTTAAGTGTATAGGATTCTGTGACAGGTAATCGGCTTTTGTATGCTCAATTGACTTCCTATGTTTGATGGTGTAATCGTGCAACTGGATGAGGCATGAGTTGTGCAACTGCTTGTTGACTGAGACCTTATAGTCAGCACAATTTCATACTGTCCTTGGGTTTTGGGAAAATGACTATGGTGTTCCCCACTCTAAATAATCCACTTTTTTGATGATACTCACTTTCTAATTTATCTAATTCCTTATCCACTTCTTCCTTCGATGCATAGGGAACTGGACATGGTTTTAAGAACATTGGTTTGGCACCATCTCACAGTTTTAATGAGCAAATATAATTAGGTATTTGGCCAACTGTGGGAGTGAATGAAACTGAGTAGCATTCTATGATTTTTGAAATGGATGTTTCTACTTCTGTTGAAAAAATATTGTTGACCTTAGTTGTATGGCTGAGTTTATTGATGTCAATCTTTGAACTCTGAATCTTCCTACTATTGCATATTTTTGGAAAGGAATGACATATAAGTCCTCTATAAAGTAGTTACTACCATATTCAGTTTTTACTTTTGCTACTCCTAGGGGTTTGAAAATATCACCTGTGTAACTTCGAAAGGTCACTTCTGTTTTTGCTATGGGTGCATTCTAAGCAATTCTAAGCAATTGAATTTATCAACACTGATGATGGTGACACGACTGCCAGTGTCACATTCAAAACGGACTTTTGTACCATTAACGTAGATTTCTGTGAGGCGTCTGTGATCAGTTCCCATTATATTAACAAATACATCTAGAACACTATTTATATCAAAGTCAATTATGCGTTTGTGATTAATATTGTGGACTAAAAATGATTTACATCTTATTTAAATAAATTTTTAAATAAAAATTTTTACCTACATATTATGTGCCTAATACAATAATTATAATACATATACTCTAATGATATAATTTGTACTCTAACAAATTTAATTAACTTTTTTATTTTTTGTTATATTATTTCTAAAGTACATAGTTCATTTTTATATATTACAGTTTCCAGTTTCTATTTTACAAAGCAGTGTTAAAATCATTCATGAAACCCCCACTGGTTTACGTCAAAATCTGTTATGGTCTTATTTAAGTGATCCAATTAATACAGAAGAATTCTTCATGTCAGGGCTAAAAGAAAAAGAGGTAATATTTCATTTAAAGTGTTTCATTTATAAAAAAACGTGACTTTTATTTTATATGTGTAGCATTAGCTTATTATAGAAATCAAATTTATCTGAAATAAGCAAATAAGATTTAAACAAGGATAATATTAAAGCTATCCATAGTTCTATTAATCCTCTTGTCATTTTGTTGTGATGATTCAATGGGAGATTTGTGGTGAATTGTATAACTGAGATCAAGTAAAGTTATTGCTTATCTTTAATTCAACAGAAATACAGATAAATTCTACTCTTATCCAGCTAAGTACAGAAAAGCAACTGTGTACTGTTTTTCAGGGGTGCATAATATCTTTAGGACTCAAAATTTCTCCAGAAAATAAATTTTACATACAGAATTTTCTCAAGAATTGTTGCACATTAGCAAACAAAACAAAACATTTTATGAAGGTATTAATTAATTAATTATATAATAATTATTACTACATAGTTTGGAAAATTCTAATTTAATTCTACTGTAGATCCCTAGCGTACCGAAGTACGTTAGTGTGAGCTTGAGAACAGAAAGGACAACATGAATCAACGGGACACTGAACAATTTTAATTTCTCTAGAANAAAATCCATCAAAATTTATTAAGAATAAGCATTTTTGTTCATCTTCAATGGCTGTCACCAGGTATTAGAATGAGGCAAATTCAAAATATGACATTAAAATTTCTGAATTAGATTTCATTCTAGAACCTGATAATGGTTGAAATGGCTGAATATATTTGTTCTTAATAAATTTTGCTGAATTTCAATGCTTTTCATTTTACAGTTGTTATATTCTGTTCAGATAGAAGTATTTTCTTATGTTGGTATTTGTTTGATTAGAATTTCAATTGAATGGTGTA